TTCTTCTGATGAGAAATCTCCTATCATCTGTATGCAATGTATCTTTTTTTCTTTTGGCTGCTTTTAAGATTTTCTCTTTGAGTGGTTTTATTTTTTTTAAGATTTTATTTATTTCTTTCAGAGAGAGAGAGAGAGAACAAGCAATGGGGGGAGGCAGAGGAAGAGGGAGAAGTAGACTCCCCACTGAACAGGGAGCCAGAGGCAGGGCTTGATCCCAGGACCCTGAGATCACGATCTGAACTGAAACCAAGAGTTGGACTTTTAACTGACTGAGCCACCCAGGCGCTCCTCTATGACTGGTTTTAAGCAATGTGATTATCATGTGCCTTGGTGTAGTTTTCTTCATGTTTCTTGTGCTTGGGGTTTATTGATCTTACTAATTTTTGAGTGCCCAGTACTTAGCATACTATCTGACATGTTGCAGATAAGTTAATAAATATTTTCTGACAAAAAAAATATATTTTCTGGATCAAACTAAGTGATTTTGTAAGGTAATGCAATTATATGAATGCCTCTATTTGGATCTTCAGATATTTCAATTTGTTAAACTAAAATCATTTTCACTGACAAGCATTACCTTTTTTTCTGGGGGCTTTTCCTCTCCCTCTGGCTCTTCCTACCCACTGCCCTGTGTTTGAAGCTCCAAGAAATCTGAATTATTTTGCATTTTCCAAACCGTCATGTCATTCTGTGCCTTTGCATGTGCTATTCCTTCTGTTTTTATTTCTTTTGCCTGCCTAGCTAACGACTGACTATTCATCTTTCAAGACCCAGCTCAGATGGTTCAACTTATAAGGAGCTAAAGACTTCCTTGACTCAAACCTCTTTCCTATCTGATTGACCACTTCTTCATTTGAGCCCATCCTAATTTTTCTGAGGGGGGCACTTGACGAGATGAGCACTGGGTGTTATGCTATATGTTGGCAAATTGAACTCCAATAAAAAATATACAAAAAAAAAATTTTACTTATCTGGGGCAGCCCAGGTGGCTCAGCAGTTTAGCGCCTCCTTCAGTCCAGGGCATGATCCTGGAGACCTGGGATCGAGTCCCACGTCGGGCTCCCTGCATGGAGCCTGCTTCTCCCTCTGCCTGTGTCTCTGCCTCTCTCTGTGTGTGTGTGTCTCTCATGAATAGATGGATAAAATCTAAAAGATTTTATTTATCTATTTGAGAGAGAGAGAAGGAGAGAGAGCAAACAAGTAGAGTGAGGGGAGAGAGTTAAGGAGAGGGAAAAGTGGGCTTCCCACTGAGTGGGGAGCCTGACTCATAACTCGGTCCCAGGATCCTGAGATCATGACCAGAGCTAAAGGCAGACAATCAACTGAGCCACCCAGGTGCCCCGAGCCCATCCTAATTTTGTAAATACTTCTGTCACTGTATTTATCACATTTAACTATCTGAATATATCTAGCACTTAGCCCAATTTCAGGCACATTGAAGTGCACAGTGATTGTTTTTTTTTAAAAAAAGATTTTATTTATTTATTCATGATAGTCACAGAGAGAGACAGAGAGGCAGAGACACAGGCAGAGGGAGAAGCAGGCTCCATGCACCGGGAGCCCGACGTGGGACTCGATCCCGGGTCTTCAGGATCGGGTCTTCAGGATCGCGCCCTGGGCCAAAGGCAGGAGCCAAACCGCTGCGCCACCCAGGGATCCCTGCAGAGTGATTGTTACTTGAATAAATGGTTGCTGGGAGAAATTTAAGAAAAGGAAGAGAGGAATTAGAAGGATTCTCAATGCAAAGCCTGCAGGGCCTTATCATAAGGATTTTAATTTTTACTGCAAGTCAAATTGAGAGCCCTTGGGGCACCCAGACAGCTCAGTTGGTTAAGTGTCGGACTCTTGATTTTGACTCATGTCATGATCTTGGGGTTGTGAGATTAAGCCCTGCATCGAGCTCCATGCCAAGTATGGAGGCTCCTTAAGATTCTCTTTCTCCCTCTCCGTCTGCCCCTCCCCCTTCACACTCTTTCTAAAAAAAAAAAAAGGAGCCTTTGTAGGCTTCTGAGCAGAGTGGTAACATGATCCAACTTAATAGTTTATAATGGTCTCTCTGCATGTGTGTTGTGAATCGATGGTGGTGATGTTGTAGGTTGAATTCAACCATTATAAACTAGATAAACTAGGAGGGGAATTTGGGCACACAGACACACAAAAAGGGAAGACAGCTATGTAAAAACACACAGACACATAGGGAGAACAACATGGGAAGACAGAAGTGGAGACTAGAGTGATGTGTCTACAAGGCAAAGAAGGTCACAGATTGCTAGCAACAACTAGAAGTTGGGAGAGACAGATTGTTTCTCAGAGTCTCCAGATGGAATCATCCCTGCCAACACCTTGATTTCAGACTTCCAGCCTCCAGCACAGTGAGAGAATAAGTGTCTGTTGTTTTAAGCCACTTAGTTTGTGATTCTCTGATCCAGTAGCCCTAGGAAGCTAATACAGTGGACAAAGGTAAAAGCAGTTAGGAGGCCACTGGCATAGTCCAGTCCAGAGATGACGGGGACCAGGATGAGGGTGGTAATGGTGGAGATGGTGAGAAATCATCAGATTCTGGATACATTATGAAGGCAGAGCCAACAGATTCTGCCTGTATGTAGGTCATGGGGTGTGAGAAATGTTAGCCTTTATTATCTGCATGGATAATTTAAATACTTATCAATATATAACATACACTCATAAGTGTGTATTTTTTCATTGTCCCAAATATCCCAGGTTTGAGGCTATTCAAACAAGGATCACTCATCATGGCAATGGAAAGCAGCTTATTTTGCTGTGTGATCAAAGGGTAAACCACATTATTTTTCTGGGTCTCAATATCCTACTTGACAAGACAAGAAAGTTGAGCTCTGTCATGTGACTATATGATTCTATTATTTTTAAGTGCCTTGTTGCCTTTGTATTGATCCACTTCCAGAAGATAGTAAACTCTTTTCTGACTTCCATATTTGAAAACCTGTCTCTAAGTCTGCAGTAGCCTTGAGTAACAGAATTCTCTGTCCTCTCTGTTGTTGATTCTCTGCCATTTGATATTTTGAGTACATAAAAGAGTGACCCACCATATTTAAAAATAGAAGTACAGCAAGACCAAAGTAACCCTTTGTGCATTTTTTTCAAGGATCTGAGAGGAGTGCGGTTGCCTAATGGGAGTCTGCGACTTCACCTAAAATCAAGATTTGGAATTTTGAGTCTTGAGACCTCACCCTGAGCTATCATCATCTGTGTGTTTATATTTATATTTAGGAGGGTAATGAACTTATAGAACAAGATTATCCTAATACTAATAGCAAACATTTATATAGAGTTTGCTATGTGTCAGGCATTGCCCTATAGGTTTTGGAAATATTAACTCACTTAATCCTCACAATGCTCCTATGAGTTAGACACAATTATTATTCCCATTGTACAAACAAGGAAACTGAGGCACAGAGCTATTAAGATTCTTTTATTATGCTAATAAGGGATCCTATATCAAGCACAAATAAGTGGGACCCTTATGATAAATGATAAAAGCAAGGCAATTTGGAGATTTAATATGGAGAAAAGAGGTTTTGTCGGTCCCACAAACTAATTCTGACAAGGTCCATGACAAACACCCATGACATTAGGCCTCTTCCAGCCTCCAACCCTTGTTGACATTGGTTTTCTAAGGAGGAAAAAGGAGACTGAGCAGTGGGCCTCAGGGCTTCTGAATGCAACCTTGCCAGCTCCCAAACACCTGTTAGATCCGGTTCTCAACAAGTTTTGAAGTTTCAAAATGTATCCTGGTGTTGTTTCTCAATCAGTCCCTTGCTGAGTCTGGAGACATTAGACTGCCCCTTTTCTAATGCGCTTAAGCCTTTCACTGGAGATTCCTGAGCCAATGCTTCCTTTCTGGAAAAAGCGGATGATCTTTCTTAACAGTCACAGTTATTACAAATTTGAACACCCCAGTCCCGCTCTGTTCCAGGCCCCACAACCTTTGCTGGGTCTATCTTTTGGTCAGGCCTAGTTGGGTCCTGACCAGACTAGAGCCACCGTTGTGTGTGTTATCAGTGTGTGTGACCAATTTGGTGATGGAAGAATCAGTAGTAGGCAACCCACCTAATCAAAGTCGGAGAAGAACGTTTCTTTCTACTTGTATTTATTTATTCATGAGACACAGAGAGAGGGGCAGGGACATGGTCGGAGGGAGAAGTGGGCTCGATGCGCCGCTCAATCCCAGGGCCCTGGGATCACGCCCTGAGCCAAAGGCAGATGCTCAACCACTGAGCCACCCAGGCTCCCAGAACATTTCTTTACTCGGCCAAATACCTGGGCTGGAGTCTCTAACAGAAACGAAAAATACCAGCTTGTTCCCCCAACCAAATCCCAGAATTTGGGAGCAAACTTTGAGGCTGGAGGAGCGCAGTGGTGAAGGTCTGAGTGTCCCCAGCAGATTTTACAGTCAGGTGGGTGCAGCAGTGGTTCGCGGAAGTTCCTGAGTGGCAAAGGAGGAAGCCTGAGCTACCAGAGAGCCCGGCCTCCCACAGGGGCACCCCTGGGGACAACGCTGCCTGACACAGGTCCTTAGAACGCAGGTCAGGGGCAGAAGTTCCGGCCAGACCACCGTGCACAGGGGCGGGGGTGGGCGTGGGGGCGGGGCGCAGGGTGGATTCCCAGGGCTAGGGACCCCGAAGCAGACCCAGGAGACCTTCCGGAGGCGACCCTCCTCAACGCCAGGCTACTAAACGGCAGGCCTAGGTATGAGCCCTGTGCCACGCCCTCCTTCCCCCGCCCCAGTCCCCGTGTCCAGGTGGCTTTGTGAGTCACCCGGGCCCTCCGTAAGCAGCCCACGGTGGGTGGGGCCGCCTCACACTTTCTCGCCCCTTCCCACTCTGACTCAGCCCTCGGCCGACTGAGCTCCCACCGCCGGCGGGCAGCCGCCACCGCCGCTGTGCCCGCCCCACCGGGCATGCTCAGAGCCCCGGCGGGCCCCGACTGGCGGCCGGCAGCGCCCCGCGCGCAGCGCGGGGCCCTGGCGCCCGGGTCCCTTTAAATCCGGCCGGCCGGTTGCTAGGCAACGGCGCGGCCCGCGCTGGCGCTGCACTGCAGAGGCTCTGCCCCGCGCCGGCCGGGCCGGGTCGCGGTGGCCAGCGCCGAGCCCAGGGCTGCCGCCCGCCGGTGGTGGCTGGCTTCGGGGAAGAGGGGCCAGGGCCCGCCGGACCCCACCCACATCTCCAGGTACGTCTGCGCGCGGGAGCGCCGGGGATCCCCCGGACTCGCCGCTGAGGGACCCCAGGCTGAGGCACCCCGTCCCCCCACCACTTCGGCCTCCGCCCCCTGCCCCCCCCCCCGCCCCCCGCGACTGCAGCTCTCTGCTCTCTTCAGAGCCCAGGCCGGGAGCTGGCGGGAGCCGGGGAGCCGAGGGAACTGGGTGTGGGAGTCCGGGTGCAGAAAGAGGAGTGGGGTCAGGCCTCGCCCGCTGCCCCCCCCTCCCCCGCCCCCCCTCCCCCTGCTCCCCCTTCCGCCACGGGGTAGGGACTGGGGAGATGGCAGGGAGCGCCCAGACCCGAGCTCCCTTCTCTCCACTGGAAGCAGCGATGGCAGGAGTTTGTTAACCATTTACCGAGAAAAACCCCAAACTATGCATGCACAGATACAGCTTTATAGCAAGAATGTGACTTCCATACCAATAAAGTACTCAGCCTTTGGAATTAAGGTGACTCCGTATCTTTTCTTCTAGACGGAATAGTTTCACACTAATAACAAAGACTTGGAGGGTGATGACCGTTTACAGGGCCCAGTTTTCAATGGTACTTTGCTTCACTCTCAATATCTGCCAAACAATAGGCAAAACAGTTTGTCCCCTGAAGTGGACACTTGGCTCTGAAATGTTAAGACCCTGAAAGATTGAGGCAAAAAAAATAGAGATCACTTTCCTTTTTGGTGATTTCACAAATTAACCGGACTCTGATGAAGGGAGGCAAGGCCTAGGCTCCAGCCCTTTGCTAACGTGGCTCTTGGCACACTCCTTAATAACAAGCATGTTCCTGAGGGCACCAGCAGTGGCTCATTTGTTCAGTAGGTGCTAAAGGCCGGGAGAGACTGTGTTGAATAACATGCCACCATGAAAAAAAGAAAAGAAAAGAAAAAAAATGCCACCATGATTCTTGTCCTATTTGATATTTGCATCTCTGGGGGACTGAAGACTTAGTGGCATAACAGTTGGGAAAGTGGGTTGGCAAGTTAAAAAGAAAACTTGCTTCAGAGTGTCTGGCATCATATTTTAGATAGGCCACACGGCATGCTAAGTATATCACTTGTCATTTTAAGCTACATCTTGGATATAAACATGGATTTGGGCATTCTGGTTAATTATATTTTCTAATTATGCTGTGGGAATTTTATTTTCAGTTCACACTGGAGAAGGAGAGCAACAGCATCCAACAGAAGACCTTGGACGTCAGAGAGTGTAAGTACAGTTGTGCTGGCTGATATATTGTTACTGTTGGTGTTCTGAAGCGCAGAGCCTCGCCCAACATCCAAGACTTCAACCTTGTAACTAGATGGTTCATCTGCATTGTCAGCACACTATCAAAAAGCCTCATGAAAAAAAAAAAAAACCTCATGAAAATACAAAGGCAACCGTGTCCTGTAGACTTTGGCCAAGCCAAATCAACTTTGAGGGGAAAAGGGAAGTCCTTTTCCAAAAATGGTCCCCCCAATACTGCATAAACCAGAGGAGAAATTGTCAGTGTTTACAAAAACTCAGAATCACAGCATTAGAGAATTTTCAGAAAAAAATACTAAGGCTCATTCACTCAACAGATATTTGTTGGTGGCCACTATGTGTAGGGAAACAAAGGTGAATAAGATCCCAGGAGATCACAGTGTATCAGTGAATTAAAAGTATGATGGAATGCTGTTGAAGCAGCACTGGAAAAACTCAAAGTGCACAGTCATCCTAAAGTTCTGGGTAAAGCAACTGGCGATAAAATGCAAATATCGTCGATTGTGGAAAGGACTACCTTAGGATCCCTTTGGCTTCAGAAATATGGGGGCATCAGCCACTTTCAGGATTTAGGGCTGACTTTCCCTGAGGCTGCAGGTTAAATTAATCTAAGATTTGAGCTTAGGGTCCTCACTGTTTGTTTTAATAGCACCTACATTTCCTCCTCCTCTCCCCCCGTCGCCCCAAGCTATTTCTGAGGTCTGATAATTTCAGGCTGGCAACTTTGGAGGAAACATCTCTTTGTAGAAGGTCATTGGACTGGCTGGTTTATGTTCCAAGGGAGGGTAAGGAAAACCTAAAAAAAGAACAAACCCTGTTGTTGACAGTAGACTTTACAATTGCTTCTGTTTTCATTTTCATTCATTTCTCTTAACCACCTGTGAAATGGGTATATATTGTCCCTCTTTTATACCTGGAGAAACCGAGGCTCACAATAAGTAAGTGTTCCCATAGTTTGACCTTGTGGGAGTCAAGATATCTGCCACCCTTCAGGATTTTTTCACTACAATCCTCACTCACACTCTGTTCCTTTCTCAAGAACTTCCTTTTCCTTCGTCCCCACATTTTTGCACGGTAACACGTGCTCCCCCACCTTGACTTCAGATACTTCATTCGGGTCCTCATTTTGGCATTTAACATTTTTCTGTGAGCCAGTGATTCTCAAGAGGGTGGAGAATGGAGAAGCTCCCCTAGAGGGGCCAGAGTCTTCTCAAATAAAGAGAGAGGGTAGTGATGGTAGTGCTTTGTGCCTGGGAACAGTGGAGGCAGAAAGAAAAGGTTGAGAACTACTGCTTTTAAGTGAGAACAGATCAGACAATGGAGCAAAGAAGCCAGGCCAGTGACTTTCTTTGTAGCAGACTTTTTTTTTTTCTCTCCTTCCTTATTTTGGCCAAGCAGTTTTTCTGAGGGTTGGGAGAACTGAAACCATCCAAGAATAATGGGGAAAAGTTCCCTGCGCTAAGAAGGGCCCTTTGTCTTCCCCTTACTGCTCCTGGGCTGTGACTACAAGCCAGGCCCCTAGTCCAGGGTGGCTGGAGGGCTGAGTGTCCTGAGGACCGTTTGACCATCCCAGGTTGGAGATGACTTTTTGCAATGCCGGTTTGCAGTTTACAAAGTTTGGGATGAAACACTTTTGCGAGGTTGGGGGTAGGAGTGGAAAAAAGCCTCTGGAGGTTTTCCAGAACTGTTTCCCAGTCCCTGCCCACCCCTGCCTGGAAGAATAATCGCATTTTGCAGACAGATGTAGATTTATGCAAAAGAGATGGTCCTGAAAGTTTGAAATCAAATTCCAATGTAAATGAGATAAGGCAACCGAAGGAAAGAAAAAAAAGGCCTTTGAATTTTAGCTTAGTAAATTTCCCTAAAGCATGTGATTTTAAAAATGAATATTTTAGAGAACAAATAATTAGATTTCACATATTTGATCACTTATCCATGTTAATATGAGTCTATTCCCTGGGGCCCCCTACCTTGAAAGTGGAAATGAGATGGTTTTGTGGGTTTCTCCTTTCACAGTAAATAGTGGTGCATTATTTTCTGGAGCTGTTTGAGGATAGCTGTGCATTCACCTAAGATTTTTATGGAATGGTTTGCCTAAAGTTCCATAATAAATGATTACTCTTTCCTTAGCCCTCAAAGAGGATATTATGTTACATCACATTACATTATAAATTTATTTGCAATTTATCTTATCAGTGGTTCCCACATTCTTTAGATGAATATAAACCACTTCCATGACTCAGGAGATCCTTACTCCACCAAAATACTTTACTACTTTGCCACCAAAAAAAAAAAAAAGAAAAAAAAAAAGAAAGTTACCAGAGGATAAATGGATAAATGGCAATGTTTTCAGAAAGACACTAATTAGAATGATCTGGAGTCTGTTATTAATTTATGTCAGGCACAAATGAATAGATGTAGCCGTATTACAGACACCCCTGTCAACTGTGCAGTCCCAGGGACTTTTGCGGGATTGGTGTCTTAGAGGACCATTAATGTTATTTTTGTCAGATGACTTTATATTGTTTCCCTGTGTTCTGGTTTGTTTGTTTCTTTAAGTTTTTCATCTCTCTTGGACCTCCTTGCTCTACCTTTAGTCCTTCAGTAATCCATGTAGAGTTGGGTAGGCAGTTCCAGTAATAAATGTTACAACTGACCCACTAAAATGGCCTGCTTATACTTTCAATGATGGCTTCTGGTTTGATTTGCCCAGAGCTGCAACAAATTACCCAATGGAGTTTATTGAGAGCAAATGGCTGCCCTGCCAGGGTAAGGAGTGTCATTGTTTTAAAGCATATTCCTTGTCCTTGCCAGAGAATACTAATGTCATACTTGTTCTGCATAAAAAACAAACACTGCAATTTGGGAAGAGAAAATGAGACTGGCAACTTTTACCCCCCAGTCTGGGCTTTGCCATACTCTGTGACTAGATTTGTGAACAAGCCCTTAAAGAATATCTTGCCAATGAAAGGGGAAGAGAGAGAGAGAGAGAGAGAGAGAGAGAGAGAGAGAGAGAGAGAGAGAGAGAAGAGAGAAGAGAGGGAGAGAAAGAAAGAAAGAAAGAAAGAAAGAAAGAAAGAAAGAAAGAAAAAACAAAAAGGCAGCTCAGAGACCCCTTGACCCTGTCCTGTGTAAGCCATGGGAGGGAAATTCCAGAAGGCTTTTCAAACCTTTCTCTTTTTGTCCTTTGATATGTGACATGCAATTCTCCTTACCCTCCCCCCCTTCATTTTTCCTCTCTTCTTTTGTGGCCCTTTAAAAAATACCTAAGCTCTGAAAATAGTTGGTTGTTTTCTTTCAGTTTGTAGAATGAAACCTAGCAGAAGAATTTTAAAGCCAGCACTGACCTGGGAGACAGGGTCTCAGTTTTATCACTACAGGCTATGTGTACTTGGTCAAGTCACTTGACTTCTTGGAGCCTCAGTTAGAAAATGAGTGGACTCTTCCCAATTCTTTGAAAAGCACTGACTATATCAGGAAATTGTACAGAGGTCCAAGGAAGAAAGGTAGTGAGATTGACGAGAAAAAAATATGTCTGTGTTTTTGTCAGATTTATGGGAGGGTTGGGGACAGACGTCACTTTCTCAAGGTACAAAGTTATTAATGAAAAGAGTTTTTTCTGTTTTAACCTTTTTCTGTACCCAGCTCTCTAGCTCAGATTTCTCATTATCATTACGTCCAGTTATACAGTGGACTCCCTTCCTGATCAGTCTCATCAATGCCTTTCTTCCAGAATTAGGTACAAGGAATACTAATCTGTCTCCCCTTGCTACCTGATTTAGAAGCATTTGTATCTTTTATTACAGAATTGTCTGTTGAAACTTTGCTAAAAAATGTGACTGGCACTTAGTATCACTGTCTTCTCTCTTCTCTCTGTTCCTTTCTTTTCTGACCACCGTGATAACTCCCAGTCATTTGCATTCATATTTCTAAGAGAGGAGAGAAGCCAGAATTAGGATGGTCTTCCCCTTTAAGAAAAAATAGAGCATAGATGTTTCTGGATGGTGATTTAGTAGAATAATAAAAGTCACAAAAGACTATTTCAAGAGAAACGAGGTGATGCTCCAATGGCAAACATATATCACGAATTTCAAGTCTCCACTTATTACTGTGGTCTGGCTAGCTAAACTTATAAAGCTTGGCTTACGGCTTTTGAACCAATCATTCTAACACCTTCACTGAATATTTGCATCTTTCCTTTTTGCCAGTGGGGAATGTACCCTTAGAGATAGCAAGTCCCTTCCCTCCTTTTCCAGGGTGGAGGGATTGGCATGTTCTGTACACACAGGTAACAAGTTTACTCTCACTGTAGCAAGGGAAATCTCACATTTAGCAACTACTGTTGCTAAAAAATGTACTGGAGAGATAATATACAAAAAATTGGTTATCTCAGAGCCATGGGATTATGAGGGAGATTCCTTTTGGTTTTTGTGCTTTTCTGTATTTTCCAAAATCCTACAAAGAGCTTCCAGTACTATTAGAATCTTTATAACGAAATGTTACATAAATATGTATTACATAGTAAATAATATAATGTTGTAATCTTTAATAATAGGAAAGAAAATGTTACTTTATTTATTTATTTATTTTAAGAAAATGTTATTTTAAAAAAGAAACAACAATTGCCATTTTCTGTTGCCAAGATAAAATTGTATTTGTATGCGTGGGAAAAATAGATGCAGGCACACTTTGATTTTTCCCAGTGACGATGCTACAAATGCATTGCAGCAAATGACTGTATAAACTGAATAAAGTGATCCCCTCCCTTTTCTTCCCCTTTGGCAATCCCTGCAGTTGCTAGTTTGATGGTTTCAGGTGTCAGTGGCCTTTCAGTGTGTTGCTTGGGTCCTCCTTTCTCCCTACTCTCTGGAGTAGTTATATTTGATCAGATATTTCCAAAAGTTAGGAATGCTGTGGGTTATGGATTCTCCTTGAATAGGGAAGATGCCTTTTGGAACAAATAAATATCCTCTAATCTTTAGAAATTTGGAAATTTGGTTGTGATTTGGTATGTTACGTTTTCACCTAAGAACTACACTTGGAATCAGTATCTTGAGAAGAACACATTCGGTGGCATTCATATTTTCACTTGTTGCCATTCGGTTCTCATCATGAAATTGCTGTCAAAATGGCTAGATTTCTGTACACTTGGCAGTCTGGTCTAAAAACAGAGCCCAAGACTGGAATAGCAGGAATTTGCAGGTCAAGACAGAAGGGCATTTGGCAGAGTTAGTCATAAGGAAGTCTGCACGGTATACTTTACCAAAAGCAGCTCACATTGCATTAAGCCCTGATGTTTTAGTTACTTTAAAGACTGAGTAAACAGTGGTCCAATGCAAACGAACCAGAAAAAAAAAATCAGGCACATGGGAAGCACAGGTATTAACCTACTATTAATATTAACCTGTTAATTTGAAATCACTTTTATTCTTTAGAAGCAGTACATTTTCATTTTTTTAAAGATTTTATTTATTTATTCATTAGAGAGAGAGAGAGAGAGAGAGAGAGAGAGAGAGGCAGAGACCCAGTCAGAGGGAGAAGCAGGCTCCACTCAGGGAGCCTGATGTGGGACTCAATCCTGGGACTCCAGGATCATGCCCTGGGCTGAAGGCAGGCGCTAAACCACTGAGCCACCCAGGGATCCCAGCAGTACATTTTCATGTGTACAGTTGCTTTCTCATAGAAACATCCTCTCTACAGTAAATAGCCAAATGTATCAATTGATTGGCTAGACTGCACAGCAGCAGAGAATTTTAAGGCCGGAAGAGTCTGTGGACCTTAACTGGTTTTCAGTTTATAAAAGAGGGACCTGAAGCTCTCTTGGTGAGTTATAGGGAGAGCTAGTCCTCAAATATTTAGGTTTTTACACCCGTGAGCCACTACAAGTAGTTATTTCCATTACATCAGCTGCCAGTATAAACAGTGTACCTTGATTTTAAATTTGTTTTGCAGGAATTGGAAGACGTACCTGGAGAAATGGATGCTAGAAGAAAACACTGGAAGGAGAATATGTTTGCTCCTTTTTTTAGTGCACAGGATGTTCTAGATGAGGCTTCTCAGCCTGAATCTTCTTGTGAACAAATGACTTTAGATAAAGCCAATAGAATAGAAGGGCTTTTTAATTTGTCCAGTAGAAAGTTTCAAGAAGAAAATAAATTTAAGAGGAAGGAATTTATTTCTCAACTGAATGAAAAAGAACAAGAACCAAATTTAAGAGAGAGAAAGATAAACATTTCAAAGAATGAAGCTGACACAAATTCTGTCTCCTGTGAATCATCTAATTTGGATGTGGTGACCGAAGAAAGCTTTAATAGCACAGAAGATCATTCTATCTGGAGTACAAAGGAATTACCCATCCTACCAAGACAAGAGGTGAAGAAGAAATTTACTGAAGGAATGTCTCCCAAACTCCGCCTGAATCTTTTGAATGAAGAACTGGAAGAACTTAACATGAAATGCAGGAAAATAGAAGAGGAATTTGAAAATGCTGAAAAAGAACTTTTGAACTCCAAAAGAGAAGTCTCCTCAAAACCCCTAAGGTTTCAGGAAACAGGCGGAGAAACTTCGAAGAAAGACTGGGAGCTTCAAGCTTTAAGAAATGACCTATCTGAAAAAGCGACAAATGTCCAAAACCTAACTGAAGAGCTCCAGCAAGCCAAAGAACTCATCCACAGGCTGAGTCTAGAGAACAGAAATTTAAAAGAGGCCGTTAGGAAACTCAAGCGTCAAACTGAGATCGGAAACGTGCTCCTGAAGGAAGAAATGAAACTGTATTATGAATTAGAGATGGAAAAGATCCGCGGGGAGCTGGATGCCATCAAGAATGAGCTGAGAGCCGAGAAGACCCTGCAAGCAAGAAATAACAGGGCCCTGGAGTTGCTTAGGAAACACTTTGCTTCCGTGACATCATCAAGTACCCTGGACAGCTTGACAGAGGATTTTTTTTAAAAGTCAAAAAATAAAAAAAAAAAAGCCTTTTCATGAGGCGAATCATGGAGCCAAATCGGTGTTTCTTGTGCTTTCTTTGTGTGCTGCTTAAAATGGGTATGATGGGAAGCCGTCGTTCATTTGGGTAGAATCGGGCTATCCATAAAATGTGTAAGCGTTAACTTCAAAGCTTCTGTTTTCTCTTTCTCATGACATTATCGTGAGAGTCCAAATGGAAACGAAGCTTCAGAATATACATTATATATATATATATGAATATTTCACTCAAAGACATGCTGCAGTGATTCACCAAATCATTTACAAATACAAGTCAACAGCCATTTTGTGATTTTGTGAGCAATATGTCCTTGGCACGTGAATATTCTTCCATCTGTGTTCGTTGATGTTAACAATAAAAATCTTGCTTATGTGTCTAAGCATAACATGTGTCTCTGGGTCTTATAGCTGCCTGTTCAGACTCAATGGGATACTAAAAATGTATCTGCTTTCTTTGAGATCCAACCTTAATTAGGCACATATAAACATCTCTGGAAAAAAATGCAGCTTCCCCCCCCCCTGCTGTTTTCCCCATGCTTTCTCCCTTGACCTGGCCATGGTTCCCATAGACTACAAGACGACTTAAGAGGCATGACTGTGACCTTTGCTAGAGCCCTGATTTTGTCAGCAATAGCTGCTTTTGCATTTTCTTATGTTGCCAGCAAGGGGCGTTGTTTGCACAGTTCTTCCAAAATTGTACCAGGGAAAATTTATAAGCCTTCGTGCCCTGATTTTATATCACCAGCTGGCAGGGGCTGGAGTGAAAGGTGTAAGATGTCACCGAGGTAAGCTGTTAGCGATCTAGCTCGATTTGTTTGGGAATCTGGTCCCATCGGGGGCTTAGGCAATGACAATTTTGTACTTACAGAGAATGCAAATGCACTGGTTCAGTCCTTTGGTGGAAATGCTGGGCCAGTTGAGTCTGTGCATTTGTTTGTATCAATCACTAAGATCTCTTGTAACAGGAGTTCTATTTGCATGGTGTTTTTAAGTCCAATGAGCCCAATGTAACTACAGGTCCAATGGTAAGGGTTTAGGTGTCTTCCCTCCTGGGAAACCCCCAAACTGGGAGTCCAGATACTTGAGTTCTAGGATCTGTTTTGCCAATGACTAGCTAATTAACCAGCTAGGCCTAAAAGTCCTCATCTGTAAAACAAGGGAGTACCTCAATCATCCAAATTCTGTTCTTTGCCGATGTTCTCAGTGGTTTGATTTGCAAGTGTAACTGTACTTGTGACGAAGCAGACCTACTGCTTTGGGGACCTACTTGGCCGACCCACCTCCTTTCTTTCTTTCTTTCTTTCTTTCTTTCTTTCTTTCTTTCTTTCTTTCTTTCTTTTTTTTATTTTTATTTTATATTTTTTATTTATGATAGAGAGAGAGAGAGAGAGAGGCAGAGACACAGGCAGAGGGAGAAGCAGGCTCCATGCACCGGGAGCCCGATGTGGGATTCGATCCCGGGTCTCCAGGATCGCGCCCTGGGCCAAAGGCAGGCGCCAAACCGCTGCGCCACCCAGGGATCCCTCTTTCTTTTTTTAAAAAAAGATTTTATTTATTTATTCATGAGAGACACACAGAGAGAGGCAGGCTCCACACAGGGAGCCTGATGTGGGACTCGATCCCAGGACTCCAGGACCACACCCTGGGCGGAAAGCAGGCACTAAACTGCTGAGCCATCCAGGGATCCCCCGGCCCCCCTCCTTTCAAAGGAAATATACACAGGCTCTTTTTTTGATAGTTTGAACACCTCCAAATAATAAATCAGGAGAGGATGTAAATGAGGTCCTTTGTTCTTTCTCTTGTTTCCTTTATTCATCAAGGTCGGGGAAGGCACTGAAAGGAGGCAAACTATGCCAACCTGGAGGCTGAGCAGGGAGTGCCTGGCCTGAGAAGATTGGACTAAATTGGAAGATAGTGATCTTTGGTGCTTTCTGACTAGGCCCTGATAACTGAACCTGGGTGCTGGCAGCCTGCTGAAAAGGGAAGATGACCTTCAGGTTGCTGGTGGTCCTTGGCTTCCTGCCAAGGGCCTAGGTGCATATGCATGCTAGGAACAATTTGCCCCATTAGGCTCTCTTCCTTATCACCCCCTTAAAAGTTAGCCCTCTGTCCTTGCCCCAGAGAGACTCTCAGTCGCTGATCAGCTAGTGTGCAGAGTTGCTTACATGTTGAAAATAGTTCACAAATTGTGTTAAGCCACTAGGCTCAACGTTCTTAGCACATTTCAATTTTTTAAAAGGAGTTTTTACTCCAGGAGAATTTATGTTGAGCAACCGCACATCTGAAGTCTTCAGTGACAACTTGGTTTATCTTGCACAAGAGTGTGTCCATGCTTATGTGTATTTAGGGGGGCAGAGAAGAAGTGTGTCTAGAAAAGATGAGCACATGGCTTATTAGCCCCCCTTTGGGGGGGTTTCTAGGATGGAACTAGAACACAGGATCTTTTTTCTTTAAATATTTATTTATTTTATGGAGGGGCATAGAGGCAAAGGGAGAGGGAGAAAGAAGCAGATGCTGTGCTGAGTGTGGAGCCCCACGCGAGTCTCCATCTCACAACCCTGAGATCACAACCTGAATTAAAACCAAAAGTTGGATGCTTAACCAACTGAGCCACCCAGGTGTCCCTCAAATCTTTTTTAAAAAGAAAATACTGTCATTTAAGCTTTTTGTATATCAAATGGGAGGTGTGGAGATGTTTATGTTGTTGTTTTTTAAAACAGGAATAACACATCAGGTCATTCATCCCTTAAACTAATCTATTGGATTAAATATTTGAAATCAGCAATGCAACTGCACACCATTTCCCACCAATTCCTAGTTTCTTCCTTACTGAGAACTATGGACAGTCACAGGGCCCTAGGAATATCTGTTCCACCTCGGGTTCACAATCCAGTTCTAGAAATATTTGCTAAGCACTTATTACCATCATTCATCACTTCTGAGATGTACCTTTTTTTTTCCCTAACATTTTGACATCCCTGAGTTTGGGACATGTCTTCAAATCAGTGGCATATTGTAGCATAATTGTCAGTTTTTAAAAATCTTTCTTAGTGGTGCATAAAATGATGGTATATCTTACAATCAATAGAGTTTTAGATTTGATGAAATATGGCATATGCTAGGCAATGTGGTAAGTGCTGTTAGCGGTGCTTGCATAAAGTACTGTTGGGAGCACAGAGGAGGATCGATGAAATCTGCCCGTGGGGCTGGGAAGGACTTCATAAAGGAGGTGACAGTTGAGCTAGGTCTTGAAGGATAAGAAGGATTTTTCCAGGCAAAGCATGGGAGCAGGGGCAGGGGCATTTCTGGAATGTGAATGTGGAAGATCTATTTGGCTTCTAAGAGGACTCTTGACAACAATGAACAAGAACTCGGGGATGGTATATTTTGCTCATTCTTCAAGTTCCCTTTGAGGTTCTACCCTGAAGGCTGTCATTCCAACTGTTTTGTTCATTTGCAGATAGACTGCAGCATGCAGGTGTCATGACATAAATACCAGGTTTCCAGATAACCAACTACAGGAAAACATTGCACTGGTGCCAGCGTACCTTGGCCACCATCACTTTTGTTTTGGAAACAAAAGAACTAAGAGGTTTTGGTCCTAATACCCAGCTAAGTCCATCGTGAGTGGTCTGGTTTCAGAGATGTGTGAGAAAGAAACACCATGCTGCTCTTCTCTCCGAGGAGCCAGTATAGCACAGAGATTAAGTGCGCAGACTTTGCTTATCCACTTACCAGCCATGTGACCTTGGGCAGGCTGCATAATCTCCTGTAACTCAGTTTCCTCATTTTGTAGGATGGGGTTTATGAATAGTGTTGTTGGGAGGATAACAGGAGATCACCTACAGTCAATAGGCATCACCACCATTGGTGTCATCATTATTATTGCCTGACTGACAAGGGGAAAATTGACCAAGTCTACTTGCTCCTTGCAGCTATTACTATTGCCAAGCTTTTTACACCAATCGTCCCTCAAACTGTGTTCTCTGGAGAGGATATGGTAAACTCACCCACGGTACATGTATCAACAATGTGTGATGCATCTGAGAAGGTGTGACAAGTTGCAGAGAGGCTATTTTTATTTTATTTGTATGTGAAGCCTTAAAGCCCAAATGCTGACTGTTGTGATGGACTTCCTGGCCTTAGTATAGATCCTGTAAAGGGAACTTCCTTGGGTCAGAGCCTCCCCAACCCCCCTGCCCTCGGGCCGGTGTAAGGCTGGCCCCTGGCCCTGGCAGGCTGACTACCAGAAGGGGGAAGAAAGCCCTGCTCTAGTGCTCCAGTGGGAAAAAGCTCATCTAGGAAAAGGGAATGGAGACAAGAGAGGCTATTATAGTATTTTCCATTTCCCCTTGGCACGGGGATCCATGCAGCTGGGGCCCCACTAGGACAGCTGCCCAGATAAGAATAAGTCATTGTCTTCCCCTTTGTACCCACAAGACTTGGATGCTAAAGTCCCCCTGATACTGTAGGTGAGCCCTCCTTTCCACACCAAGCATCAAGGTGCTGTCTCTGTGGTGCAGTGGTCAGGGCAGGGTCCTGCTCTATCTCATTTCCTCCACCTTCACCACCAATCACACCCAGTCTTCTGACGATTGCTACATTTCAGTGGGCTCTGGTTGCCATTCCCCAGGAGACTGGGTTTATATCTGGTTCTCTGAGGTTCCCGTGAAGCTCTTTTTTTTTCTTTTTCTTTTTTGCCTTTTAGCTCATACCTATTGACTCCACAGTAGTTGTTGTTGTATACATTCTCAGACCATGATGGGAGACACACCTGAGAGATTCTCTTAGAGTCACTAGGACCCTAGCTGCAACTGGACTGTTGGTTAAAGCCTAGCTACAAAATCGTATTATGTGTTACACTTCCACTCATGTCGTTTTATGTAATCTGCACAATCCTTGATCATCAGATGACAAAACTGAGGCTCAGAGATATTAAACGATTTATTCAGTATCACTGGCAGTAAGTGGTAGAGTCTAAAATCCAAACCTAGACTGTCCAACTCCACATATGGTGCT